GAGAGAGAGAGAGAGAGAGAGAGAGAGAGAGAGACGATTCTATAAGTTATGGAAAGAAATTGAGCCACAAATCCAATGAAATAAAGGAAGCGATCAGTTGTGCCAACACTTTATTATCTAATATCAGGAAATTTATATTTACTAAAAATATTTTCAAAATATATGACAAATTCTGCAATAAATCGTATAATCTTTTAGATTCTGTTTGTATAACGGAATTGAAAAATTGAATCCAATTTCTAATTAAATCGTGAATTAAATTATGTTTACGGATGAAAATACCCATTAGTTTTTGTTTATGAAATGTATGTTTTATTTGCAAAAGCATTAAATATTTATATATTTATTTCATCCGTTAGTTAATTAAAATTTTTTATTATTTGCTAATTATATCTCAAAATCAATTATAACTTTAACAAGAATTTAAATCCTTATCTCTAATTAGATAAATATTTAATTTAAAATTATTTGGAAATAAAATAAAATAATTATCCATTCGTTAAGTTAATCAGCAGATTGTTAGACAACAGACAAACACAGTATACAATAAATTAACAAAATTTGTATGAATTATAATATTTTCAATTTTTATTTTACAAAAAAACCGTAAAATTCTTCAAAGATTTTACATATCATTAAATATAATGGAAATCATAAATAAAGAAAACTGTTTAACAATTTTTCACTTATTTTAACAGCATTTTGTAGTTAGAAATTTAAATTATATTAAAAAAGTTACAAATAAATTACAACAAATCGATTGCAACAAAACCCTTATATAAAAATGAAAATTAAATTTGTTTTATAAAATAAAAACCTATTATAAAAGTCAATTATTTTATACGTTTGAAAACTTAAAATACAATTTGTTTTTTGATTCATAAATAAAAATACAATTATTTTGAAGCGGAAACACAAGAGTTGTCGTAAATATTATCATTAATTACTAATACTTTTGTTGTTTTCGGTCGAGAAATACTCTTTCAGTTCAAAAAACTATTCATTTATATATTTAAAATTTGCAATTAATTTATTAATACGAAAATATAATATCATTAAAAACGACTAAAACTTTTTAAAATATTATATTCGCTTTAAATATAATCAATTTTAATTATGCATTCAATTCGTGAATACATTAACACATTTTCAAATAGCGATACGGTTTTAATCGGCGCTTGTATTTCAGTGTCGAGTCGTTTAATAGATGCGATCATAGGATAGATAGAGATATAGAGAGACTTCAATGAAAGGTCACTTTGAAAGCACTTTGAAGGCACTTAACGGCCGACTTATTTCGGCCCCAATTTGTCCATCAATTAAATATCATTACATGAATTAGACTTTTGTTTGTTTCTTCTCACATAACAACATAAACTCCGATAAATATATTACAATATTTTGATTAATATTTGTGTTTTGTTTCGTTTAAACAATCAATTGAGACGAAAAAAGCTGAGAATTTGGCGAAAAATAGTCAAAACTTTGTTCATTAATCTTCCACTTCAAGGGATGTCATCGAAAATCAATTGAAAATTATATAAAAGACACAACAATTTATGAATGAATGAAAGAAATGAATTACTTTTCAAAAAACAACACTAAATTCGTGGCACTTATCGAGAGTCAAAATAGCGATTCAATTGAATTAATAAAACCAATTGTTTTGTCTGTTTTTTGCGTGAAATCGCAAAATAATATTAAAGTCTTGTCTTCAGTACAAGTGTTGAAACAAAACATATTTCACACACTTTTGTCGCGTCTTTTGATAAAATTCTTCACAAAAACCGCAAATCAATTCACATTTGCGATCGCTTTTAAAAATTACAGTCAATTTACTAGAAAATAATTGTTTTAAAACTAAAAACATAGAAAACAACTAAAATCAGTCGGAATCGTCTTCTTTGGCAGCTTTGGACGGATCAAAGTTAGCGAACTTCCACTTCTGGTTCGACTGACCGGACGAGCACTCAGTCATCTGCACCTTCTCTCTGTCCGATGACATCTGAAGACATTTACCACTTATTCCGTGCTTTATTTGATGCAACTGTTCATTGGATTCAAAAATATATTAGTTTTAATCCACAAAACAACTACAATAGGACTCACGTCTTCGTCATAGATCCAGTGCTGATTGCCTTTAGATCCATGGCATGGATAGAGAACCACATCCCGACCCGCAAAGTCCAGACAGGCCTCGTCTCGCCTGATCTCTCCCTCTTTGCTCAGAAGCCAATACTTTAATGATAAACAATCAATAAAAACATTATAAATAAAGTCACATATAATTTAGATAAGAATTTATGGTAAAATACATAATGAATTCAATAATAAAATTCTATGCATTAATTAACTTATAATATTAAAAAGTAAAACAAAATATTCAAATATTTATCTAAAAATAGATAATCATTTCAATTCCTGAGACATTTGGACTGAAAAACTAGTTTTATGTGCCATTCGGTCGCAAATCATGGTTTGAAATACATTTATGAAAACTCATTATAATTCAAAGGCAATGATAAGTTCATTAACTCTCACATTATATAAGCAATAGATAAGAGGAGAGGGTATTTGAAGTCATTTGTCAACATATTTTTAATATCACTTTAAAATTCAGACTCTATTTCAAGCGAATAAATGAATTAAATAATTATAAACTTAATCATTAAAACGATAATAATTTATGCAAATCTAAACTCATTGGCAAATATATGCTCAAAAATTCTCTATACATCCCATAATTGTTTAGATAAATATATTCATAAAATAAAAATATATAAAATATAAATCACAAAAATGCAAACATTTTTGCCCTAAAAATACAACATTCAGTGATAAGTGGCATAAATGGGAATTACTTTACGCTAAATGCTATAAACCAAACGCTGAGAGAAAATTGTTTGTGATTTATATTATATAAAACTTTTCGCTCAAAACTAATTCAAACATAAAAGCAAACAAACAAAATACTGGCCTAAAGTTTTCACTAAAAACTCATTAATTAAACGCAAGTAAACATCAAAACTAATGCACAAAATGTTATACATAAAACAAAACGGATTGTGAATCTCAGACCTGATTTCCTCCCTGATTATGACACGGATAGAGACCAATGGGTTTGTGATAATCACCCTTTCGGGCCGCGGAGTCCAAACACATCTTCGACGGGGAATCGCCGCCGAGATTTCGCACCTGAATATCAATTTGTGACATTAGTTATTCACTTATTTATATTGTATTGTATTTTGTATTATATGAGTGAAGGATAGGGTGTAGAAGAAAACAAAACTCATTTCATTAGATATAAGAAAAACATATTTACGAAACAAACAAAAAGCCTAAACGAAAGGTCAGTACATTTGTCTACTGTAAACATGATGTATGAAATGTTTCCGATATATCGAGTACTGTCACAAGTGGTCAGAACTCAGATTTATCGTGATATCTAACATTCAATATGAGGCAAAATATCAATTTTTAATTAATAATTGTAGAAATATTTAAACCATATTATAAATAGCAACTAATGATATGAATATATTTCACAGATAATGTTTACGATAAGTATATTATTGAACAGACATATTAGTGATAGATATGTATTGTTAGACCAAAAGCAGACGCAAAGTATAACAAAGAATATATGGATTATAGACAACGAAATGCAAGAAAAATAGATTATATATAAGAATATAATGTAATGAATGGAAGAAAGAGAAATCAATAATCATATCAAACATATGAGTGGTTATAATGAAATGAATTATTGTTATGTATGAAAGAGAGAGAGAGAGAGAGAGAGAGAGAGAGAGAGAGTCTGAAGAAACAGTACGTGACATGAATTGAAGACCATAATAACAATAACCGCACAACTCATACATACCTCTCCGGACGCAACAGCCTCTCCGGGAACAAACAGCTCGGGGTATATATTCTTGATATACCAGTCAAATGACTTGCAGCCCAACTGTTTTCTCAGCGCTTTCCTGGAGCTCACGTCCCCGTAATCGCCCTTTTCATAGACACGGATTGGTTTGTGTGACAAAAAACAATTACTCAATGAATAACAACACACTCTTTGGACGCAAATTATAATATTATTATTTATATAGTTATAGTTATCTCGGATTCTGCTTTCGTTTTTGCTTCTCTCTAAACACTAACACTAATTATATACAAATTCCTATATTTATAATTAAATTCAAATGAACTCCTGATCTCACAATAATACCAAAAAAAATTTGCTAATTGTTTATGTGATGGCATTTGTCTGGCGCTACGGTCTACTGGGGGATCAGCTCTAGTGATAGGGGCTATACTCACGAGATCATCACCGATGCGTTGATAGTAATACTTCTTGTACTCGTCTAACCAAACCTCTGCCAAACGAATTGAATTACGTTTCAATACATTAACTCCCGATCGCCACTGGAATACATAATAGCATACATTTCAGACACAAAACACAATGCAATCAATGAATACAAGCGATTCATCGACGGAACCGCAGTATTGGGCAAAAACTATACTGTAGTTTATATATCAAAAGGCTTTTCCAATTGCAAAGTCCTGTTTAACATTCCGATAAACAGATAGATATATATCTCTGAACAGCAATAAACAACTGGAAAGCCTTTTTCTGGTCGACAATTGCATTATAAAACATACCTTATATGGAGACCGGGAACGGAAGACGTGGCCCACGTGTGAACAGGGGATTATCTCCAGTGTCCCCCCGCACATCCAGGTCTGCAATATATAACAGGTCTGTTAATACGAGCGCAGCGTGTAATTGGTATTATTGGTATAGTTAGAAATAGTCGTATATACGGTATACTGTGTATTAGAGGCATCCGTTTCTGTATATCTACAGAATATTCTCTATCCGTTTGTATGAACAGAATATCAAACAAAACACACAATATATGAGAGTTAATCGATTTGAGATAAATATATTACAGTATTTCCAATAAATGGATAGAAAATTTATTCGTCCGCTAATGCATTACAACAAACGAGAGAGAGAGAGAGAGAGAGAGAGAGAGAGAGAGAGAGAGAGNAGAGAGAGAGAGAGAGAGAGAGAGAGAGAGAGAGAGAGAGAGAGAGAGAGAGAGGAGAGAGAGGATTATATCTTATTTGAAAAGTTAATTCCATTGCATTTAAGTCTATTATATAAGGAAATAAGAAATTCAATGCTTAGTATTCACGTCTTATGCATAGAAAAAAATGGTTACAGAATTAAGAGAGAAAAAAGAAATGATAGAAAAAAGCTTTGAATAAATTTAACAGAAAAAAACAATTTTCAAACTAAACGATTGAAATGCAATCAATATGGAGAATATACACACCATTTCAACACTAGAAAAAACACATAAAAAGTTTTTGAAACGAAAAATTTACTTCAAAATCAATACAATCTCTCTTATAATTCTCTCCATAATTTAATTTCCCTAATGTTTGGCTAAATATTTAAATTTAGGACTTATTTCTGTGTTCACTGTTGAGAGGATTCCATGAATAATAACAACAAAAAAAAACTTCGGATTATTAATGAATTTCGAGAGTAAAGCAAAACATTATTAACTGTTGTATAAAAATATTTTTTGAGATATAATTTATAGCCGACTCTCGCGAGTCTCAGGCGTGTAATAAAAGGCACACAAAAATTGCTATAATTGTTTGACCAAAAGAAAAAGAAAATCATTTTTACATTTTATTATTTTCTAATATTATTATCAAAAAATTTTACTCCCATTTCTATGCCATTTATCTCTGCAAAACATTTATTATTAAAAACTTACTATAAATGCCAAACCATTTTCATTGCAAAACTCTGCCATTAAAGGCATAAATGATTAATTCCTAACTCTTATATCAAAAATATTCAAAACTCTGTGTCTTTTAT